TACTAAATGAGTAAAATTCAGCCTTGGAGAAGCTAGCACATACCAGAATTCCTTCTCTTTTTTTTTCGGCCAGCAGAACCCGCACCAGGCGAGCATGGGGGCTGACGGAATTGCAGGGGGGATGCTCACGGCTCTACCAGAAATTGGAAGGGAATAAAAGCAATTAAAGTAAACCCAACCTAAATCAAGGTTAAAGAGAGGGATTCATGGCTAAATCTTACCAGAAAAAGCCCAAAAATCTCACACCCACATAGCAGCCGGCGGACAAGAAGAAGAAAACAGCGCAGATCTGGAAAATTTCTGGGTTTTGAAAAGTGTTCTGAGTCCCAAATCTTGTTACTTATCAAGAAAAGAAGGAGAAAATCCCAAGCTTGGTCACCAATTTTCTCAAGAAATGAGTCGGTGGCTAGAGGGCTTGGGGGGCTGTCAGGAGAAGAAGAAGAAAAGCAGAAACACGCGGGTCTGATGAGGAAGAAAAGAAAGAAAGAAAAAAAAGAAAAAGGAAAGCAGCTGATCCTTATCCTAATTTCCTTTCTTTTAAGTCCCTCAACTTTGAAGTTTTCTATTATTAATGCTATTAATAATATTTCCTTACAAATTAGTCCCCAACTCAACTTTAATATTCTAGAAATTTTGGGATATTACAACTACAGTCTCCCCAGCCCTGAAACCATCAGTTGTCAACCTAAAATTGTTTAATGGTGACATGGGTCATATCATTGCAAAATCACAAACGTGTAGGTGCATAGTTATTAACTTTAAAGTTGGATCGTGTCGTTGCAAAGCCACAAATGTGAAAGCTTGAGATTATTGGTTAAGGTTAGCATCTTTGGCATACAAACATTCAAAATCCTATGACTCGAAGGAGAGTGGAATGAATCGAGCGCGGATAAGGCATTGGGTGAAAGAAGTGGATTCTGGACACATATCTGGACCAAGGATAATTTGTATATAATATTTGGACCGTCGTTGGTTCAAACATGTGTCCAGAATCTAAGAGCTTCTCCTTTTATACTTTTTTTTATTCTTTTTCTTTAAGGACATCAGCACCCTTTTGTGCGTTGATATTCGAACTAATGACGGTCCATATATGATATTCGGAACCGTCATTGGTCCGAATATATGTCCAAAATCTAGAAGCTTCTCCTTTTACATTTTTTTTATTCTTTTTTTTTAGGGACTTCACCACCCTCCCATGCCCCAATTCCATTCTTATGAAAGACAATTGCATGCACATCAACACTACAGTCACCCCCAACCTTGAAACCATAAGTTGTCAACCTGATATTGTCTAACGATGGCGTGGGGTCACATCATTGCAAAATTACAAATGTGTAGGTGCACGATTATTAACTTTAAGGTTGGATTGTGTCGTGCGAAGCCACAAACATGAAGGCTTGAGATTATTTGGTTAAGGTTACCCTCTTTAGAACGCAAGCATTTGGAATTCTGTGGCTTAAACGAGAGTGGACTGAATTGGGCACAACATCAGGCATTGGGTGAAAGAAGTGGATTCTGGACACATATTTGGACTAATGACAGTCTACATATAATATTCGAACTATCATTGGTCCGGATATGTGTTCAAAATCTAGAAGCTTCTCTTTTTATACTTTTTTATTCTTTTCGTTTAAAGGCATAACCAACCTCTCGTGCCTCGATATTCGGGCCAATGACGGTCCATATATGATATTCAGATCGTTATTGGTCCAGATATGTATCTAGAATCTAGAAGCTTCCTTCTCTTACACTTTTTTATTCTTTTTGTTTAATGACATCACCACCCTCTCATACCCTTATATTCAGACCAATGATAGTCTATATATGATATTTAGATTGTAATTGGTCCAGATATGTGTCTAGAATCTAGAAGTTTCTCCTTTTACACATTTTTATTCTTTTCATTTAAAGACATCACCACCCTCCTGTGCCCCAATTCCATTCCTACGAAAGCCAATTGCGTGCACATTAGCATTACAGTCACTTGCAACCCCAAAACCATCAGTTGTCAATCTAAAATTGTTTAACGGTGGCATGGGGTCACATCGTTGCAAAATCACAAATGTATAGGTGCACAGTTATTAACTTTAAAGTTGGATCGTGTCGTTGTGAAGCCATGTGGAGGCTTGAAATTATTCAATTAAGGTTAACCTCTTTGGCACACAAGCATTCGAAATCTTGCGGTTCAAACAAAAGTGGAATGAATCCGCCGTTGGATAAGGCATCGAGTGAGAAAATTGGATTCTGGACACATTCAGATCGATAATAGTCCGTATATGATATCGGACTGTCTTTGGTCTAAATATGTGTCTAGAATCTAATAGATTCTTCTCTTACACTATTTTAATTTTTTGGTTTAGGGATGTTCTTAATTATATTTATTTTTTATATTAAAATTAATTTATTAAATACTATAATAATATTTTCTATATTGTGTTTTTTTTTGTTAAAATTTTGTTAATATTTTCTACTTTGTCTTTATAAAATTTTATTTATTTTATATTAATTGTTAATTTTAATTTAATAAATACTTTAATTAGATATTTAACCTTAAATAATATAATTATTTTAATTCTATTTGAATGGCTACAATAGTAGCTTTGGAGAAAGGGAGTAGACTTTAGAATATACGGATTGTTGTCAATTCGTATATGATGTTTGGACCATTGACGGTCCGTACATATTATATGGACCATTAACAATCCTCATATATTATACAAACCGTTAGTGATCCTTATAATTTATACGAACCATCTATGATCCGTATATCATAAATCTAGCCACATGCAATTCTTACCATTTTATTGGAAAGATTTAATTGATATTTAAAGTGAAAATATTATTTGTAAACTTTGACAGTGTGAAAATATTTTAACATAATTTATGGTATTTATCATATAAAATGAAAGGAAATTTTATTCATTTAGTATAAATAAATAAGTCTCCAATGTTTATTACAAATATAAAGTAAATACAAATATATAATGCAAATATAAAAGGCCTACATATCTCGTGGTGTCCGAGGGGTAACAATGCCACTGGTATCTACTAGAATCATCCCTAAATGTTGGTAGAGTTGTTGCATCTATATAGCAAGGGTCAATTGTGACTGTCGTAGGTTCTCATTATTTGTCATAAGAGTGCTCTGTGATTGTTGAAGGCTCTCATTATCTGCCCTCAATGCTTGGATAGTCTGCTCTAATTCTTCAACCCTATTAGACTGTTCCATGATGTGTGGTCTGGATGGTTCTTGTCTAGATGTGCTCACACCTACATCCTGTGGATTTGTGTAAATGTCTAGACCTTTCAACTATCCTTTATTGACCCCACCAGTTGCCATAACTAATAACTCACCACGGCCTATTGTAAGGTCAAAACCTTCTTCCTCTTGCTTGACAGCATATTCAGCTACTAATATTTCTTGAAATCATATAAGACAAAATAAAATGTGTTTAAAATTAAAGTGAAATTAAAATATCAATTTAGGAAATTAAACAAAAATTCGATAAAATTTAATTTATTCTCCTCTAAAAAGATGGCTTTTAACTTTTTAACCTTTATCCCATTCCCCTAAATATTAGACATCAACCTTGTTATTAGTTAACATCAATTAGGAAATGCACACCCACATTCAACAAAAATTTTATTCGACAAGAAATACACACCAAGTTTACAAAATGCTCTTTGTTTAAACCATCAAATCCTCAAGGATAAAAAAACACTAAGCAATTGCTTCTAGAAAAACTCTTGAGTTGTTGCACCACTTAAATAAAGAATAATAAAACCAATTCACCTTACCCTTCAACCAAATAAAGAATCACATTTGAATTATTTCAAACAAATTACCTCAAATACACACCCATATTCAACAAGAATTATCTAATCATTAGCTTCTCTTATTCAATAAACTTTAATAATTCAAAATTCAAGTTTAAGTTTGATAATTCATATTATTAAATACTTACGCTAATTTCTCAAGCCTCTCCATTACAATTCACAAGTAGTTGGTCTTTTCCTTTTAGTTTGTGCTGCCTTCTATAGGTGTACTGCTCAGGAAATGTCAATGGATGAACTTCAGGGTTTGTCTATTACTGTAAAGGAAAAAAGGAAGACCAAATATTAAAGTCAATATAAAATAAATTATAAATCATAGTGCATTAATTATTCATTAAAAATATGTTAATGTTTATACCATTTTCTTTCTATAAGCATTAACATCCATTGAACCGCTGGTGTGTGTCGCCCTTAGTCCTAGTGCCCAATTTGCCCTTGCAGAATTTGACCTTCTCAAATAACCCTCATCCTACAAAATTGGTGAACATACATATTTTGTTAGTAATATGATAAAAAAACATTAAGCATTACAATTGAAAAAAAAAAAAATTAAACACATGAATTTACTCCATTAGCTCACTCTAGAAATGAACAAGCTTGTCTCATAACTGTGGATTCATATTTGGAGGCTTAACTTGAAAGCTTTTCTTTGCGAACTTAACTTTGAACTCACTAAGTGCATGATTGAATCTAACCTTTATAGTCTTTTTCCACATATTTTCCACCTTTGTATGAATTGTAGGGTCCCATTCATATGTTTGCTGAAGAAAATAGAAATATAAATAAATAAATAATTTAATAAAAATTTATTAATGATAATAACCAACAAAATTCAAACTACTTCAAATTCAAAGATAGAAATTGAAAAGATCTAATTTGTAAATACAAATTAAATGTTAAGGGCGTACACAGAATAATTTCCAATACATGTCCCAATGCTCAACTAGGACCTATCCCCATGATGTGCAAGCATTTGGGAGATTCTCTCACAACTGGATCACAATTTGTCATCTGACCTTTTGTGGCAAACCATCTTACTCATCTAGCTCTAATGAGATCTTGGTCCCATCTATGGACATCTGCAGGGGCTTAGCTTGCCCCCATCCCTGTCTTTGTTGAAGGGTAGCAACATCTATCTCCTCATCATTGAGAGACTTGACCTGTATATTAGCATTTGAAGCTGAAGCCTCTAGAAGCACATCAGCAAGATCATACTCCTGAACCCGCCTCTAGGGGTCAAACGAGTTTGGCTGTCACAACGGTTGGATGGAATCTACAGTCTCCGTGCAACTAGAACTACAACAATTCACTGTAAAAAAATATAACAAATACAAAAAAATCATTAATAAAGTAATTTAAATGCAATAAATTAATATTAAAATCACAATAAAAATTAAAATACTTTTACTTTCTATAGATAAGCAAATAATAACCAAATTATATTTTAGTTGAATAACATAAGATAAAACTAATATCAAAAATAATTATATAAATATTACCAAAAAAATTATAAAATTAACAAGTGCAGCAAAAGTTGATGGACAAAAATTGTGCAAAATCATAAAGTTGAGAGATTAAAATTAACATTTAACCTTTTAAAATTACATATACCACAATAATATAATTACACCTTTAACCAACTATAAATATACCTAATTTAATTGATCTTCATAATTAATTAAAAAGGGTTTAAGTACCATTTTGGTCCCTCAACTTTTGACTTTGGCACTAAAATTGTCTCTCACCTTTAAAAAATATCAAAATTATCCTCAAACTTTTATTTTTGGTACCAAAATAGTCCTTCCGTCAATTAAATGACAGGTCGCATGTTAAAATGCTAGCAAATCAATTCTTTTTTTTTTTTTCTTAATCAATGACATGAAAAAAAAAACATATTTTTTATGATTTGGCATTTTTAATTAATTTAAAAATAATTATATCTTTTTCTTTTATCCACGTCAGAAAATAAAACATCTCTTCTTTCTCTTCCTCTTTCACTCTCTCTTCTCCCTTCGTCTTTCTCTCTCAAACCCAGATCTGGGTTTTTCTCAAACCCAAACCCAGATCTGGGTTTTTCTCAATCTGGTGAAAATTCATACATTAAAATGAAAAATACAAGTAATAAACACCATACACCATACATTTTTTTCACAAACACCACACACAAATTCATGATGAAGCAAGCTTCGCACTGGCTCGGTTTGTGCTAAACCCTTGCACGTGGCTCCGGATGCCTCAAAGTCGGCACTTGTTCCTCTTACTCTGCTCTCATATCTTCCTCTTTTTCCTCTGCGTAACTTTTCCTTTACTCTGTGCCACGGAGTTCTGCTTCTGGGTTTGTCGCGAGAGGACGAGAAGGAAAGCGGTTGCACGACAGTCAACAAAAAAGAAGGAGCGACGAGGGGATGCGAGGAGGGGTGTGGGTGAAATAATGAAGGGGAAGAAAGTGAGGTGGGGTTGCTGCAACGGTACTTGGAGGATTAATTGATGTTAGTTTCTCTTTCTCAAACCCAGATCTTGGAAGACAGCCACACACACAAAAAGAAAAAAAAAATCTTCTTTTTGCCAATTTTGATCTCATTTGTCACCATTTTCCCAGATCATCTTTCCGATTTCATCATCTTCACCGATCACCTCCAAACAGCCACTCCCTCAACTCAAAACCATAGAAAACCTCTTGTATTTCTTCTGTGACAGCCGCACAAAAGGGATAAAAATGCCAGAAATTTCCAACTTGTGCTCTCGATGATTTCTGCAGAAACAACAATGGAAGATATGGGAGAGCAAAAGGGCGATTTCTAGCATACTTTAGGTGAGATTTAGGCGACTAAGGGAAGGCTTTGCTATTTTGCTGTGGTAAGGTAGAAGAGTAGAGGAAGGAGGTCGACATTTGTACTGAAAAACTGCATATCTGCATTTGTTTGCTTCTTAGGTATAAATCTTAGACGGGAAACAGTTAAGAGAGAACTTCCCGTGGGTGGGGTATTTCCTTTCAAATTCTGATATGCTTCCCTTGATTTTAGGTTGATTTTTTTTTTTTTTTTAAGTTTGATGCCTATTATGGATGAAACATGAATATTTGGGTTTGAGAAAAACTTAGATCTGGGTTTGAGAGAGGAAGAAGAAGGGAGAATAGAAAGAAAGAATAAGAAGAAGAAAGAAGAAGGATAAGCAGGGAAAGGAAGGAGGGAGTGTCACGCCCCCAACTTAGGGTTAGGACATCACAATGCCACGTAACTTTAGGGGTGACCCCAAAAGCATATAAGGCTAAATCAGTCTCTAAAATTCATCATTGCAGCTTTGCATAAAATTTATTCTTCACTTTTAAGAAAATTAATAGAAAAATATATATGTGATAATAATACTCCAGCATCTAAAGTCAATTCTACACCAAAAATCTGAAGTATAACTAGCATTAAATTAAAATCTCTTTATTTCAAATGTCCACAAATGCTAAGCGTAATGGGAAAGAAGTAAATAGTCTATTTCTAAGGTGGCTCTCTAATTCCCCTGCCTCCCAGATGCTCCATGTTTAGTATCTGAAAACATTAAATAAAACAATGTGAGCTCCACATGCCCAATAAATAGCATACCCAACTAGTAC